AACTTTAGAATTTTAAAGGTATTTTTGATAGTCAAAAATACCTTTAAAATGCAGTTTTATGTAAAATAGCATCGAAAATCCTATGATTATACGTGGGTTTGTTTTTAATAGGTGTATTTAGTATTGAATTGGTGACTATGATTAATGTTTGTTTTAAATGTTTTTGGTATAATCTGTTTTGAATTTAAAAACTGGCAAAACAATAATTCGAAAGTTCTATTTGGTGAGGCCATGTTAACTATGCAACTATGCTTGAATAAAATTATTTTTGTGAATGTATTTTATCAGTTTTATTCATATATGGTCTAATGTGACAACAGTGCGTATGTGAACAAATTGGTAAAAAAAACAGGCCCCCCCCCCCCCCCCCCTTGTATTGATATAGCTTTCTGTTAATGTAAAGAAAATCAAACTGTGACTGTAGGCATTTTCGTGATTGGTGTCACGTCAGTTTACGGCAGATTTATCAAGACCGCACCTAAAGTATCAGTATCAGAACTCAGTATTGACGGGTACACAATGAAAATACTCCTATTGTATGGTTTAAAAAAAGGGCTTGCAAGCAAGACCTATACAGACATTTTTTGAATAATTTTCCCAAAAACTTTGTTAAGATCGTATCATGAAAGTAATCATTCGCGTGATTACACAATAAACAAAAAACGTAATATTGTAGTGCACTTAAATAACTGATGAATGAATAACCTCATTGCACCTGGATGTGGTTAAACTGACATCGTGGTGTCACACCCTCTACTTCCTTCATACAATGCACTGACATTACAGACATTGTTGGTTAAGAAACCACTGCACAATCATAATGATCCCTAAAACAGATTCAGTTAATTCAGTTAGAGATAATACACCCAAACATTAATTGCTGATGTAGGTTATATAGAAAACAGCGAAGCAACTTTCTGTTACCGGTTTTAAATTTGTATTGTTCTAACCAGCTCAAACCAAAATCTGTTTCATTCTGTCCCTGTTCTCCTTTCTTGTGTTTGTTCTCAGTGTACTTCTTCTCAGCCACCCTCATCCTACTCCTGCATGTTACCTTCTTCTCCCTCTACTCTATGCAGCTTTGACTCCTCAGCATACTCTTCTTCTCATCTGCAGACTCCACCAACATCAGCCACCCAGAACACTGGTGAGTGATTCTAAAACACATGTATTTATTCAGTTAGGGACATACTATGACAGTGGAACAACAATAAAATTAAACCATAAACTATGTGTCTTTTTCTGATATCTTCCCTATCATCTTTATCCAGGGCTTATGCCACCTGGTATCTCAGTACCTATCCAGGTGCCAGGAGGTGAGCAGCAGAACATGAGCCAGAACGTGGGTCAGTACTGGGTCAGGTTACAGTAGGCAACAGATACTTCCTGCAAGAGAGAAAGAAACCAAGGGCATGTAATGACTTCTATTGTGAAGTACACTTCAGGTAGCTGCCTGAAATGCCACGAATTGTTCTTGGTTTAAAAAAATAAAATAAAATAAAGCATGCTGTGCACCATTTGGGGATGGATTTTGAGAGCTAGTGCTTGTATTACCAGTTTTTCTGGACTATAAGTCACTGTCGCACCAGCCAGCCAGAGTGCCCTCTAGCGGCTGCCGGTGTGAAAATAACGGACATTTAAATTTTCAGTGGTACAGGAGTAGCAGATACTGGTAGACAAGCCTAGAGTGCTCTCTAGTGGCTGTCAGTTTAAACATAAATAACATGTGAATTATACATTTTAATATATATATATACCCTTAAATAAGAGTGTTTAAGTTTCAGTTCTTCACACTTGAGATAAAATCATCAGGAATTGTATATTAAATGAAGTCTGAACTGTATTCATTGGACGCAAGCTCACGAAAGTGTTATAGTTTACACAATTGGGCAATTAAATAGGTCTTTTTGATTCAAAGCTTATAAGTGAAAGGCAACTGGACGTCTCAGTTTCATGATGACATTTCACCTAACATGACGAGACCTCTTCAGTTCTAACTAATTCCTGAAAAAAAGAGTACCATATTTAACCTCCAAGTGAGTGAATAGCTCAGAGATGTTACAGTAAACAAGCTATATGATCGGTTTGCTAATTTTAGAGGACATCAAACTTTCACATAGATATGTTAAAAAAACATGAACAAATCTATAGTCATAATCTAGTTTTTTCTGCTTTGGAAAATTGAAGGTTGATGACACTACACGTTTCAAATTGCACAAAGATTTAGCCCTTTATAAATCAGCCAGGGACAATCACAGCAAAGCCGACGCCAAAAATAATGTTAACCAAATTTGCAGAAAGACAGGTTTCATAAAAAAGGAACATTTGTTTTGTTATATCGTAGCAAATGTTGCATGACCAAAACAATATGCTAGAGACAATCAACAGCATAAAAACATTTTTCAAATGTGTAGAAAGGAGCTTGTGTAATTTGCAGAGATATTTCCCTTTATGAAATGTCAGTTTTTATTTTTTATTTTTTTGTCCATTCAGCTTTTAACTTATTTGCCGTGTAATCCTTGTTGGTCATGTGACTTGTGTTAGTGATGTATCGCCACCAAACGTCAACCCTTTTGTCTTTATAATGAAAATAAATGTGTGTGTGTAAGTCAAAACTTTGATGTGTTCTCAAATGGTGTTATTGAAGCAAGACAAGGCCAGGAAATAATATGAAGCATTTTGAAGAAGAAAAAAAAATCCCTCACATTTTATTTATGTTAATGCCAATTAAGTAGGAATGCCCAATAATATTGGCCAACCCAATATTAGCATAATTTTGTTATATTGGTGCGAATCGTTATAGTTTTTTCCTTGAAAACCCTTTCGCCAAGATGATGTGATCTAAAAATAGTTCTGAACTGGAAGTGAAAGTGAATTTTTGTCATCGTGCAAATGACTGCATATGGCAGCTAAACGGTTGTTCAAACACCCCTTCCATATTTTCACTGGAAATCATTAGGGTTGGCCAAATATGTACTCACATTCCAAAATGTTTATAGAAATGTTTTCTAGTAGTTGGTGTAAAACAATGTTTATAACATGGTGGCAAATGTTGATAGAACGCTCGCGTCTTCAGCAAAAAGCTAATTGGTGCTCAAGTTCCACTCCCAGTTGAATACTTCTTTAGGAGGTCGCATTAAATATGCAATGAACCTGAGGCAATGCTATATAGGCGATACATCCCTGTGGGAAATGACTCCACATTGATGTATTGATTAGCGCTGGCATGAGCAAACTATGGCCCGGAGGCCGGATGCGGCATGTTTGGCTTTTTAATCCAGCCCACCAAACCTGTCCAAATTATGTAATTGATTTCTATGATCAATATGCTTCTCATTTTCCCTGCAGTTCCCACATTTTCCCAATAGATGGCGTTGAGAAGGTTAAAATTATTTTATCCTTTTTCCATGACTTTTAAATGCCATTTGTCGTTAGTAGTTTCATACAAACACTCCATCTATCTGCTTGTGACCTGGCCTCCTGTGATATTTTAGATCCCATCGTGGCCCACGAGTCAAAAGCTTTGGCCACGCCCGGGTTAGTGAGTGGTGAGGGTAAGGTTTTGAGCTAATTGTTAAGTTAGAATAAAAAAAGCTGCAAGCCTTCAGCTTGATAGTTCAAGCGTATTACCAAATATCTTATTTGAGTGATTAATGTGCATCGACTCGAAGAACAATCGCATACAGAACAACACATTTGTTGCGAGTTGACAAGGGACAAGGGAAAATATCATAAATCACTCTTTGCGTTACTCTGGCTCGTTTCCTTTCTGGAAGTCGTAAGTAATCGATCGTCAGCACAATGGACAAACAAGTATTTACAACAAATTATAACAATGTTTTCCGTCCCTATTGATCTGCGACTCCATGCGTGTCCATCTCACTGATATTGTCAAAACCCAAGTGAAGAGGATAAACCAAAGAATTCCAACTGCTAAATATTGGTGTTATCCGGGCATTCAAAGTTAAATTACGAGCTGCGTGGGAGCATTGGATGTCAGAAGGTGAACACACATTCACCAAGACAGGGAGGCAATGCCGGGCGAGTTACGCCACACTCTCTGCTAATGGATCGTGGATGTCTGGGCTAAGTTATCAGTCTCAAATGTCGTCAGAGCTTTCACAAAGGCCAGAATCATCACTAAACAAGTAATTAACAGCAACGACACTGACTCGGATAATGACAAGAGGGATCCGGACATGCTTGATTGTTCCGCTTAAATGTTTCGCTGACTGTTTTGTTTCGCTTAATGCGCCTTATAACCCGGTGCGCCTTATGTATAAAAATATTCCCGTTCATTAATAGTGCGCCTCATAATGAAAAGCGCCTTATGGTCAGAAAAATATGGGATGTATATATATATATATATACAGTATATATATATATATATATGGAACCCCGGTTTTAGAACATCATTTGTTCCTGAAGGCTGTTCATGAACCAAAAAACAGAGAAACAATTTCCACATAGGAATCAATGTAAAATACAATAATCCGTTTCTGGACCGTGGACAACTGCTTATTCAAACTTTTTCAACAGTATTTTGGGTACATATTAATCCACAATAATTAGATCTAACAAAAAAAGAAAATCACCACTGAATAAAGAATAAAGCTATGAATAGGAAAGGCAATTTAATTCATCCTTACCAGTGCTGTTTGCACAAGGTTCGCTTAGCTTTCTTGTTACAAATTGTGTCTCTGAAATATTGTCGCCGGCCAGCTTCATTGATCGAAATCAGTTGCAACCTTTTCAGTTCTTCTAATGTCTGAGATCTTTGCTTGGTTAACAGTCACTCCTTTGACAACTTTCCCATTGGAAATATATTTATATATTTATGAAATATATGGTGATTTATGGTGATTTATAGTATATTAGCGATTACTTGCTGTATGTGTAGTATTGTTGGCTTGTTCGGCAACCGAGCTGTGGTACAAAAACGGGGGCACTGTTTAGTTAATGTTAATGTTTAGAGACGAGAAAGTTATTATAATATTTCTGTATATATTTACCCTTTACGAACTTCCCCCACACTGTTATCGACCCTCCCTAGACTGTATTACCCTTTCCCACACAATATATTATATGCAGAGTGGAAAAAAAATACATTCTTATTATAAATTAAAATTCAATGTACATGCATATGAAAAGATGTGATGTGAACGAGCGAGTGGCCAACAGACAAGAGAGATGCTGTAATGCAGAAGCCAATCAGCCAACCAATTCCCCACTTTATGAACCAACAATGTAAACAGTAAGTAAACAGTAAGTAAAATCATTTTACCGGTGGCCTCACATTTGCAGAGGGGGTCCATTTTGATGCACACTGCAGTGCAATAGGAGACGCACAATTAGACCACAATGACTGTTAACAATCAACATTAGCAGTCAGATGCTGCTGAGGTAGTAGACATGGCATCCAAGAAACAATTAGAATACAGTATTTCCCAGCAGTGGCCATTATCGGTTTTTTTTTTATGTCAGATGTGAATTTCCCCATTGTAGGATGTCTAAAGAGCACTCCAAATCCACAAGTGGTTTGGGGGGGGTGGTCTGGATGGATGGGGCGCCCACCTGAAAATCTTGCTCAGGGCCCCTGTTTGGCTAATTTAGCGTGATAGCACTGTTGTGAAACAGAATTGATTTTAATTTCTAATCAAAAGGCTTATGAATAAATTGACAAATAGGAAAACAATGGGTATATTATCTAAAATAAAAAAACAACAACAAAAAAACATTTAAATCAAGTCATTTCCCAGTCTGGGATCAATAAATTATATCTATCTACAAAATTGCTTGAGACATTGAAACCCCTGACAGTTTATTCATTTCTCTGGTGGTAACGGCGGACCAGTTCTATCTCTAGTTTTTTTCTACCCGAGTTAACTGCGCATGCGTACATTGACCAATTTGCAACTGCAAACAAGCCATAGTTTTCTGCTACCGGACGGTTAAACAAGGTTAGTTTCCTGTATTTTTAATACTTTTAATGATCAGTATTCAATGCATAGGTTTGACAGACAAAAAATTTCAATTTGCCACGTACATGAGATTGAGATTAGCTAATACTGCGAAGAATCTTCATTTTCATTTAGTCATAAAACTTGCTCATGTATCCTTTAATTTTCCAGATGTTTTTAAACAGTACCTGACTAAATTAGCATCATTTTCATGTAGTCATAAAACTTGCTCATGTAGCCTCCGAACGTATGTGTACGTCTAATAGCACTGGGATTTTCCAGCTGATATTGGCCTACAGTTTTGAATGAAAGTGCATGGGCCCCTGACATTTTTCCATGAAATGAAGTATTTCTTCCATTAAGTTATTGAATGCTACACATGTTTTTAGTAGGTATATATTCAGTTTATTTCCTATGTGTGCATTGGAACAACACACACACACGGGCAAATTTGACATAATTTCTAACCATTTTATGAATTTTGTCTGAAATTAAATCATAGTTGGCTTTTTGCTTTTTTTTTTTTTTGCTGAGAGAAATACTCATTTCTTTTGATGTCGGGTCCTAACTCATCTTTATTAACGTATTTCTATATTATCTGTTACAGATGAAGTTCCC